TGTTCTTCACAGCCTCCGATTTGTAGAAGGGAAGCAGATGACTTTGATTTAGACCACTCAACATTTTGTGGCTGAACTGGGAATTGAAATCTATGAGTGCAATTTGCACTGGTTCCATGCTGCTTTAATAGTCACAGGGGAAGTAAGAGAAGAAGAAATGATGGTTAAACCTGTTTTAATGTTTAGTTATAGATTCAAATCCAACAACCCATCTAGGAGATTTACTTTAAAAGACACCTTGCTTTATTTAAGCTTGGAGCATAATGTATATTTCTGCAACTTTAGTTGCCTAGAAAATAAATCAAATATCGATAACTCTTGTACCCCCACCCCACAAAACCCATGTGTTTTCCTATAAACTGAATGTTCCTTGTTAATGCCTCTGAGTTTCACGGGGTTTAAAAGGCATTTCTTACTTGACAGAGCTCATATTTCTTTTAAATCACACATTCTAGTGACTGTGTATTAGAAAGGATTGGAATACTAATTTAGAATAAACACATTTTTGCTGTTATGTTTATACTTTTTCAGCTCATTCCTATGTATGTACACTTCTAACTGTCACTCTTTATTAAGAATTCCTCATAGCTATGTGGGCCAAGGACTGAAGCCTTAATAAACCAAGAACAATTAATCTGAATCACTTGGCATCCCTTGGTCACATCGGCCTTTATTCCCGGTTGTAGGGGGCTGCCTTTTATTGATTCAGGTCCATAAACTCAAGGGGCAAACCTCAGCTCCAGGGGTCGAATCAAGCCCTCTGGGAGAGCTGAGACCTCTTTCCCCGGCCACTGACCCTTGGGCCATTTCCTAGCTTTTCTTCACTTTTTCAGAATTCTAAAAGGTTGGCATCCCTCACCTAAAGCTTAGTTGCAGATGGTTAAAGATTTCATCAACATGATTCTGGTATTTTTTGGTCCTGCCACTTTTACCTTTGGCCCATCCACCCTCAACCTTTCATCTCACCCTTCTGGGAAGTGAGGCTTTTCTGAGTTGAAAGTGGGTCCTTCACTTGAAACAGCTTCGACAACCCTAATCTGTATCATCTTGGCAGCAGTTTAGGGCCACCTTCTCAGTTTTGGTGACATGTTTCCTGGATGCTTGAAGGAAACACATCTCAACATTCTCAAACCCTCCAGTTCTTACCATACAAGGAAGTTGAATCTCAGGCTGAGGTCTTTTTCAGCCCCGTCTCCCTGTTTCTTTGATGCTGCGACCTGTGCTGAGCCATAGTTCTTGCTGAACCAGCCTCAGTGTAGTTATTCCATTATACCTCCGGGTTCAAATTCAACACCCCACCTGAGTATAATCCTATGTTCCCAGGAACATGTCATGTGGACTCCTGAGAGTATATGTGCCATTTAGCATATCGACCTGGAACTGGAGAAATTAATGCTTGGAGCACCATTCTACAGCCTTTTCAGATATCTCTGACACTACTCCAATATTGATAACTGTACAAGAGGGTCAACAAATGTGAATCTGCCTTGTTCATACTGCTCAAAAGCTAAACCAACACGAACATGATGGATTACTATATTTGTGCAACGATGCCACCTTAAATCAATCATACTCATGTAACCTAGAGGAATTTCAGGACATGAGCAAGGATGTGGCTACGAGCAGACAGAATTCTGCTCGTAGAATTTAGAAAATTTATTTAGAAAATAAAGAGAACACGGTGTCTAACAAGGTTATGTCAGGCTCAGAACAGGCTCCTTGGATGATGCAATAATGAGCTCTCTTGCTTTAAACTGAGAAGTCTTCATCTTATGAATCAGCCATAAAAATCTGATTACTAATGGCTTTGATAGCTCTGCCTGTTCCTATATTTGGTTTCTCTACAGCCGGAGATCTGTGTCATGAGCCCGTGTATCCTCCAAACACTGCCCACTTCTACTGAATTGGATGCCATGAGATCCCACCCAAAGGAGTCACTGCTGCCTTGAAAACAGTTACTAATTCTCTGAACGAAACAATCAGGATACTGTGGCCGTGCAGCAGGAAGGACTGACAGCATCACGTGGGCTGCGGCATTCCTTTGTGTCAGCAGACGCAAGTGGGATGTTCCCTTTCGGATCTGCAGGGCATGGGAAGTGGGCCTGGAAACATAATGTGCATTGAAACCGGCTTTCAGCTCAGGAGCTCGTGTCCTTGTGACTCCTCCTGGGTGATGCTTATTCCATCTGCAGCAGCGTTTTCTTGATGTACTTCCCTTCTTTGTTGCAGAGCATAATGTAATCAAATGAAGAGCATTATACCATATTAGGCCGCCGAATGGGTTTCAGGGGCTGCCAGACTGGACTGGTTGAGTCAGCAGCTTAATTGGCTAAAGGATTAGCCAACTAGCTGGATGGGCCATTTTAATTTGCAAAGGTAATTGATGATGGATAGGATTCGGAGTTGGAGCAATTTGGTTTGGGTGTTTACTGTAAAAAGTCATTATACCATCCCTGCCTCCTTGCTGTGAGAGTTATACGGAACCCCCCTCTTCAGAGGCAGGATACCACTGGATGGCTCAGGATTTTGTGTCCTCCTTGCTGGCTTCCCAGAGGCACCTGGTGGACTAAAGTGGGAGGAAACTGGTAACCAGACACGGTCTGATCCAGACAAGCTCCTCTTATGCTCCTGAGATATTAAGAAAGACCTTAGGGTCTAACAAGTGGTAGATTGTATGTACTTACTTTTATTAAAAGTTTTAAATATATATCTATAATATATAATACACAGGCACACTGGTGCTTCCTCACCTAAAGAAAGTCAAACTCTGTAATCCTATCTTTGGGATGTTCACTGCTCCAAACTGGTAACAAACACATCCATGCAGGTCCAGGCATACACATTCTATCTACATATATGACTGAGATCCAGTGTGGCGTAGTGGTTAAGAGCCTGGGACTGGGACTCAGGCGATCTGGGTTCTAGTCCCCACTCAGCCATGGAGCCAACTGGGTGACTTTGGGCCAGTCACGGACTCTCAGCCCAACGTACCTCACAGGGTTGTTGTTGTGGGGATAAGATGGAGGAGGAGAATGATGTAAGCTGCCTTGAGCCCTTTGTAGGAAAAAGGCGGGCTATAAATCGAAAAATAAATAAATAAATAAATATTCATAAATATATGAAGTCCCTGCTCTACATTAGTTTAATATTTGCCATGTAAATTTCACACAGATCTACTTTTGATCTTCCGAGAATAATAGAATGATAGAACAGCAGAGTTGGAAGGGGCCATGAAAGCCACCAGGTCCAACCCCCTGCTCAGTGTAGGACATGGAGTTAAACCATCCCTCTCACAAATAGTGCTTAATTAGTACAGGTTGTACCGTGAGAAGAGATTTGGTGTGGCCAGAAAGGCCTGCACTTCTGAGACCAATGCTGAAGGCATGACTCAAGTTCTGGAAGCATGGAATTTGTGGCATATTTACATCCAGTCTGCATTATTGTGTTCTAGCTTCAACGTCACTGGAATGTTACACATTTGTCTCGCTGGGGAATCAAAGCAGGACAGGCAAATGACATATTCATTGTATGCTATAGCTGTGAAATGGTTATGTCATTTTAAAAAACAAAACTGGCACTTTCCTCGGTTCAAAGATTGCATATAGTGATCTTTTTTTAAAAAAAAATATATGCTGTACATACAAGTAGTTGTTTTGCTCACTTCCAAAAATATTTGTAATGTTTCATGGATTACCCCACAGTCTCCACCAGATGTAGGAAACCTGGTACTTTCCAGATATTTTGGACTAAAATTCCCATAATCCCTAACCATTGGCTATGGTTATTGGGACCACAGATAATCTGGTTCAAAACATATGGAGGACACCAGGGCAACCGTACCCACGCCATGCAGAAATAAATTCCATTGTACTTACAACCTAATGGTCAGTGCTATAATTAACATTCAGCTGTACTTAAGTCATATTCTCAGTGAATAGGAGACACTGAAATGGCCTTTTCTGAGTAAGCAGAGATGCCCTCACTGCACCTTAACAAGAAATGTGTCATGGAGCTTCAAATTCCATCATGTTGACTCCAAATGAAACAGGCTCCGTTTTAAGAAACAGATTATTAAATCCTGACTTGAAGCAAACACTGCATCAGAACATTCTAGGACCCGTTAAAAAAATCATATTTCTATGCAGCTTTCTGTAACTTGATTCTCTGTGGATGCTTTGTAGGACTACTTCCAGCTTTCCTGACCATTGGCCATGTGGGCTAGTGTCAAAGGAAGCTGGAGTCCAAAACTTCTGAACAGCACCAGGTCTGGTAAGGTTGTTGCAGAGGTTCACAATGCCTATATAGATGTATGTATCCTACTGGGACGGGGGTCATGTCCAATGATCCCAATACCTCACTCCACGGCAGCGCACCCACTGAAATCCCCTGCGTCATGTATCTATTAAAGGTGCTGGTAAGGTCCCATCCGCTTTTGCATCTGGCCACCCTACTTAGCAACATAAGAGAACTCACTCATCCTGAGTCAGCCGCTTGGTCCATCTACCCTTGTGTGATCAACATCAACTGGCAGCAGATTTGGGGCAGCAATGTTTCCAGCCCTTCCTGGAGAGGCCAGGGATTGAATCTGGGAGCAAAGGCAACCCTACAGAATCCTCAGGTGTGAGCGCCAGGCTGCTTTTCCAAAGGTGAGTGTAACATGTAGCCAGTTTCACACACTGAGCATATCACGCAGGCAGAGGAACATGTGATTACTGCTGCACAGCTGCTGTTTTTTTGACAGGCGTTCTCGACAGTTTTTGTTATGCTGCCATTTAAGCAAACACGGTGTTAGCCTTTCGCCCACAGACTTATTCTCATGGCTCAGCAGCTGCTGCTGCTTTTATGCATTCAATTCTGTGCCCCCCCTCGACCCCCCCCACACACATATGACAATCAAGCGCAGGGATCATAAAGTCATGCTGTCATCACAGATGACAGGATCTCATTAACACGAAGTGGAACCTGTCAAATAGATGGGGACATTGACACACACACAGCTTCTCTATAAACAGGTTGTTTATTCATTATTCTTATTATGGAATCATCAATGTACATAGCATTACACATCTTAAAGTAAGAAGCATAAAAGAAAACTGTCCAGGCTCCAAGCAGATTACAATTCCAAATGAATGATTGTACTAATTTCACTTTCTCCTGCATTTTAAAATCTCAAGTTCTTTCCCTCCTGAATGTGAAAATCTTTGTGAATTTTGGCAAACCGTAATCAGATGCAAACTTAGTTTTCTCCTGTCCCCACTTACTTACAGTCCAGACTTTGACAGGAGGAAGATGACAAAGAAAAAAGAAGAAAAGGTGTTAGGACAGAACAAAAGGTAATGAGATGAGTGTGAACAAATGTGGAAAAACAGAGATGGGCTTCCTTCTGGCTGGGAATATGATGTACTCCTGGTATACCTGATACACACAGCACTTTTTGCATTGCCCTCTATAAGGGCCTTTCCAGCGCACTAAATCCTTAACAATCCTTAACAGCTCCAGCCAGTGCCAATAGAACCATTTCCCATCTCAGCTAAGGAACTTAGTGATCATGGACCAACAGGGGTGGCTGATGGGGAGCCATGCTGAAAGCATATTCATAATATTATTTTCTTTCTTCTAGGGTAGTTGAAAGATGTGCATTAAAGCACCAGACAGCAATCATGGAAGACGCTCAAAAGGGGGAGGTGGCAGGGTTACGGAACGGCATCGCATTCATTCTTCTGCATGGGGGAGAAGAAGGGAAGGAAGTTGCATTGCTGCCAATGAAGGAGTTCAAGGGCTAAATGAGCACACACTCCAGTGATGTGGTGGGAGTGCTCGGCCTCTTTCCACAACTGACTGCTCTGGACTGTCAAAGCAGCAAAGCAAAACAAGATCTGTCCCTCTTGTGTTGTTTTCTTTATAGCATTGATGAACTTCCCACAAATTTGAATTGATGGCCATCTTCAGAATTTCCTGCTCAGCTGATTTCTCCTCCTTTTGCCCCAGATAGACAACAACTCTCTGCTTTTCCTGGGTTAGACGCCATTTCCTTTCATCCTTTGGATTTGCCTTGATAAGAAACAAACAAAAAAAAAGGTTGTTGTGATGGTTTGAAAGTGATTCGTTAGAAATACAGTTGTTTTATAGTGCCATGTTCAGGTTTATGGAGAAGCAGTTCTCAGAAATGTCTCTCCCTCAGGCTGTCTATATACTTCAGAGTCACACTTTTTACTATCTGGCCCTCTAAATGCAAAGCCAAAGTCGACCAAAAGGACCAGTTCTTCATTATTGATTTATATTTCTTGTATTCCTGCTTGTAATTTTTATTGTAGGTCAAAACTGAATAAAGCAAGAGAGTCTGTTCCAGCACATTGAAACAGGACCTGAGACTGAAGTGATGGGGTAGTTTTTGATCTCACCCAATGACATGGGTAGGAACTACTTACCTGGGAGCAGTGCCCACATCACTGGAAGAATGTGTTGTAAGAGGTGTTGGTATGATTCTTCCCCACAGAACTGGCATTTCCCCAAGGTCAGATGTTCCACCAGCCGAGGCTGATCACAGATCAGGTGCCTGGGTGGACATCTGCTTGGCACCCATATACTAGATGTTACTTTAGGTATGTGGCAACATACCAGGAGCATGTGATGTAGCAGGCCATAGCTCGGCAACAGAGTACCTGCTCTGCGTGCAGAAGGCCGAAGGGCCATTAAGGGTCATCTCCAGGTAGGGCTGTGAAAGAATCCTGCCTGAAACTCTGGAAAGCCATTGCCAGTCTGTGCTGATAGTCTTGAACCAGAGGAACCAGTGGGCTTTCTTTCCCCAAAATGAATGAAGTAGAAGAAATGAAATGACATTTTTCTTTGTAAGCAATCAAGTCAGTTAGCTTCCACTTTTTATTTTTTGGGCACTAGGTTTCTTGATAACACAACATGAAATGCCCTGTTGATGCTGTGTACATCAGCCAGGTGTTGTATACTTTTGGAACATTTTTTTTTCTCCCAGGTCACAACCCAGGACAAGGAAGGTGGCTTGAATGCAATGATGGTCCTTCCAAATTCAAAGCACTGCTTTAAAATGTTGTGATTGTTTCATCCAAAATGCAGTTACCATTGCCAAAAGAAAGAAGGGTTAAATTTCCCTTCATTTTGACTCATTCTTTGCTTCGGTTCCTGTTATCTACATTTATATTTAGTTTGCAGATAATGGATGTAAATAGGCAAAAGCTGCATGAGGTTCTTTTCATATTCCATTATGCCTTTTGACACTCATCTGTTGCCCCTGCAAGACAAAATCAATAAAGGGCTTTCTTAGCATTACTGTGCAGTGTATGAGAAATTGTGTGACGCCCAGAAAGTAATGACTACTTTGTAGCATTCATTATAAAGCAGTTAACCACAAGTTGTCCCAAGTAGCTGTTGTGAGCATTCATTTAACTTGCAACAGATCAATAAGACTTCAAAAGCCTACATGACAAAAATATCATGGAAGAGCTTCTAATGGGGGCCTAAGCGCATGTGCATCTCGGGACATTCATTTATTTGTTCCTACAGGACAGGAGGCAGATCTAGATAGAGCTGGATAATTTGTAGTAGATCATCAAGGACTTCTGACTCCCAGTTGTTTAACAGTGGCAGCAAAAAAGGGGCACTTTACGCACCCACCACCCACACTGCCCCCATCCATTATACTGATGAATGAAGAAAGCCTATGGTGGTAACCAAGAGTGGGATGAGGAGAGCAAAGATTGTGAGCTCCACTCAGAGCTGGTGTTCAGAGCAAACTCCTGGGTGAAAAATTCTTCATTTCTAAGTAGATTCCTTCTGCACCAGACTCCAGTTCATGGAACTCAGGAATTTACTTAAAAAATAAGCAAATAAAACTCACCCATCCTGGAAACTCTGAAGTCTGCCCACCCCTGTAGTGGGCTCAGCAATTGGCAGCCCCTAAGCTAGCTGTGGTGAATCTCTGGCCTGCAGGCCTAATCCAACCCAGCAGGATGCCCAATTTGCTCAATGGAAAGGTCTGAGCTGGCCTTACTTTGACAAACAGAGACCCCACTTGCCTTTTCTTTATTTCTTTTTGATCTGCCATTCTTGCAGTGAAGAGCTGCCCCTGGAGGCAAAATGGCAGCATTCAATGTGGGGCACTGCCCAAAGAGAAACAAGGCCCAGGGGAAACCGAGGACACAAAGCTCCCTGTGCCGCTGTCACTGCCCTGTCACCTAACTCCATCGCACGCTCTTTCCCCCACCCCTCAAGTAAGCAGCATCCTTCTCTCCCACTCCTCCTCCCATGGGCATTCACTCAAGGGAAGCTTTGATGCTGCCAGGGGTATCTAGAGAATACAGTCCAATGGAAACAGCCAGCACTAGAGTTGTCTGAGTATGAAAATGCTCCTGGACACCTGCCTGGTGTTCTTTCTTGTCCCTCTGAGCCAGTGCTGTATTTTGTTCCTCCCTTTCTGCACTGAGAGTGGCCAGGAGTGGAGATTTTAATCAGCTGTTGGGTTGCCACTCAAAAGGGCTGGTTAGAGAGCAGGCGCTGGTGAGGCAGCCATCCTGGTACTGCAGCCACAACTCACAAGGGAGAATGGGCATGGAAGGTAAAGCAGCTCAGGCAGGGGTTAAGGAGGCTCGGTTTGTTTAAAGAGGGGCCAGAAGGCATGAAGGTACTGGTGGTGATGAGAGAGCTGGATTGAAACGTGGGAAAAAATGGAAAATGATCCATTTCCACTGTGGCAGGTGTGGAGTCTTATCAGTTGGAGACATGCTTACTTCAGACTAATTCAGTTCCACTTACTTCTGAGTAAACATGCCTCACATGTTGGCCCTCCCACCACTGGCATGTGGCCCCAGAGCTCTTCCCAGATGAGAATTTGGCCCTTGGACAGAAAAGGTTTTCCCTTGCCCTAAGCTCAAGCCGACACACTGAAAGGGGCCGTCTGGTCCCCACATAGTCAAATGTGAGGGCAAACAAGTGTTGTGGCAGAATTGGGATTTCAGTAATGCAGCTGGATGAGGCTACTTGGGGTAAGGTTTGCAGACCTGGACCAGCTGCCCTTGCTCCCTTCCCAAAGCATTGCCTTAGCAAGTGTGGGGTTGTATCCCCACTGATAAAGTTTGTTGGCCTTTTTTGTCTTATGTTCTGAGATAGTGAAATATGGCTACTTATGTGCATACATGACTGAGTATATTTCTAAAACAGGACTGGTCAAGATTTTTACTCTTGAGTTCCCTGCTTTTGAAGCCCCCATGCATTTCCGTGAGAAGAAACATCTCCATCCAAGAGGATGGCTTCCATGTTCCTCTTGGACGGCTTCCATGTTCCTTTTGCTAATCAAATAATCATAATGAAGCCCCTTTCAAAGCAGCATGTAACTAAGCAATTCAGGCAAGCTACTTCATAAAGCAGGATTCCAGCCTTAATACTCAACCCATTAGGCAACTCCAATTTAAAGACAGGGGTATATTTTGCTTTTAATAAGAATAAATAACGTAAAATGGAAAATACAGGATTATTTGGGCAGATGTCTTTCTTCCTCACATGATTAAAAAGGAAACAATTTGGCTGAGGAAGCACAAATGCTTCTGCCCCCGCCCCCACCCTTATAAAGAGGTACTTCAAACTGTTTGTTCTGGCAGGCATTTTTTAGTTAATGGGACTGAGCCTTTTAAGATCTGCGGTGGTTGCTTTTTTGTCTGTTTCTTTGTCTCTGCTTTTTCAGGTCTGATGCGGCTCCCTTCCTGATTTTTAAATAGGGCTCAGCTGAATTCACAAGGGCAACTGAGTGCTCAGCTCTTTTACCCACCTTGGAACGGGCATCTTTATTTCAGCTATATTTGGGGGATGTGTCATTAAAGCAGGTTTCTTAAGATATGCCATGGCATGCCATTTCACACAACCCTGTTTTCAAAGCTGAACTACCAGAAGAAAATGTATTTCATTTTTAGATTTGTATTTGTATATTATTTTAACAACATATATTTTGCATATCCGTACAAGTGTTGCAAACATTTCAAAAGACATGTGTTGTCCTTTTCCTTTTATTCTTGATGTTTTAATGCATTTACTACACTTTATGATATATTTATTTGGATTGCATTGTAAGGTACAAAATGTTTGATGCGCCTATTTGCGGCACTGCAGAAGAAATCCAGCTGAGAAAGCACTGGGCCAATGAAAGACCAACATCTGTGCACACCAGAGATTGCTTCCCTGGGGCCATTCTTCCTGAGAGTGAAGCCATGCCATGGGCTCGGCCACCACTGCTCTGTCACTGGGGATCTCAGTGTGGGCACGGAGGGCTGCCCTGTCACGGCCTGTTCATGAGCAGCTGCTTAAGCACACATGTTCTGAGCAGCGAGGATTCCTGAATGATTAGCAGTCCCAAACCTATAAAATCCAACACACAAAGAACCATTCCCAAGCCATCTTTGGCAGCACACAGGCCTTCAACGATGCATCCATGTCCTGGGAGTAGACAAAGCAGTGTGCCTCATTCGAAGGCTGACTAAAATTCAGCAATTACGCCAAAGACAGATGCATCTGTAGTGAAAATGATGTGGTTAACCATGCAAGTCCTGTACAGGCATTTAAATTGTTGCACCGAGTGTGCAACATGTCTGTGTACTAGCTACACTTCCCTTCCTCTGCTTTCCTGCCTGTAGGAAAACTATAGGTTCATTCACAGTGGTGGTAACAACCCTCCTTCAGGCCTTCCGCTGAAAGGTGATGGAATGCACAACCCCTCCATCCTTAGATTTTTGAATGCCTGTGTGGGGTTATAGGCATTGCATTGAAGACATGCTACACTCCTACATCTTCTGTTCATTTTTCCTCTAGTGAAGAACCACTTTGAGATTAAGGGCTGGTTCTCATAGCTTGTAACTAAATCTTAGGAAAGCCCTTTCAGGTTTATAGAATGAGAGAAAAACCTGCGCAGAATGTGGAAAACCACAAGAGAACTGGAAGAAAGGGTATTGGGCCAGGGGAAGGCAGTGTGGCCATCTGGAGAATCCAGGAAGGTTGAATATGGCCCCTAGGCCCAGCATCCTGCCTCTGTGCAGAAAACCTAATATATTTGATTCAATGGCTCATTAGTCAGCACAGTAAATTATAAGTGCATCATGAATAGCTCCTTCTAAATTGGCCCTTAGAATGCAGATGCAGAAAAATTAGAAAGGGTCCAGAGGAAGACAATAAAAATGATCCAGGGTTTGGAAACACTGCCCTATGAGGAGAGACTGAGGGAACAGGGTATGTTCAGCCTTGAGAAGAGAAGGCTGAGTGGGGACATGGTATCACTCTGTAAGTGCCTCAAAGGCTGTCACAAAGAGGAAGGTCAAGATCCCTTCTTGCTGATACCAGAGTGCAGGACACCGAATAATCAATTCAAGCTGTGACAAGCCAGATTCAGGCTAGATATCAGGAAAAGCTTCCTCACTGTCATAGCAATATGACAGTGGGACCAGCTGTCTAGAGAGGTGGTGGGCTCTCCCACACTAGAGACATTCAGAAAGAAACTGGACAGCCATCTGAGTGGGATGGTCTAACTTGGTGTCCTGCAACAGCAGGGGTTGGACCTGATGGCCTTCATGGCCCCTTCCAACTCTCCTGTTCTGTGAATCTGCAAAGTGATTCCAGCACCTGTAGAGTGTCTCACCCACTGCAGCTTCTCTTTTGAGCTTTCTCGGAGCTCTCCATTGTGGTGGCGCTATTTTGGAGTGAAGAAAGTTCCACACCATGGATCCTTCCTATGACGCTCAGAATAAAAACACTGCAACAGATGAGCAGCCACACTGACATAGGAATTACCGGCCTCCCTGGTGCTCAGCTGAACCACTTTCTCCGCAGTTTGTGCCATTATGAGAGCTTTGTTTATCCCCCAAATAATCCTTGGTGACTAGGTTCAGATGACATGTTGCAACCCCACAGGGAGTCACATGTTCATAATGGAGGACACACCTGCCACAGCTCACAAACTCTGCCCACACACACCACACACCTGTTTGGGCCTCAGAAAC